GCATTGTCCTAGAGAACTCAAATTCAAATCACAATTGCGTGATCCAGACCTGAATGTAATGAAAAATGAAATTTAATAAAAGTGAACTCTATAGCGCCCCCTAGCATAGACATGAAACGTCAACATTATTATTGGATTTGTACCAAATTCGGGAATTAAATTCTGCCCATGATTACAAGCAAAAAAGTTTATTACAGACATGATGCATTTTCCACCATTGGCCAGCAGGGGCGCAAAGACTCCCCCAAAAAATAGTAAAAAAATTATTATATGCCCATGTTTAATTCGGATCGTGCTGAAATTTCAATCAATAATGCATGATGTGAGCCTGAATATAATACACTACAAAACAGATGAAAAGTGAACACTATAGTGCCCCCTAGCATAGACATGACCTGTCAACATTATTGGATTTGGACCAAATTCAGGGAATAAGTTCTATGCATGACTATGAGCAAAACATAAATAACGGACATGGTGCATTTTTGGCCAGCAGGGGCGCATTCACTCCTAAAAATATTTAAAGGGGCATTATGTAATGTGTCTAATGGACGAGCTGTCGGCCTGGGCGGTGTCGGGAAGACAGGGTGGCGTGACGGGGCAGTCGCGAGTCCCAGGCGGTCGCGTGGGGGGGCGGTGCGTGCCGGGGCGAGGGCCACCATCGCCGCGCGCGGCTTTAATTATGTGTTGTTATTATAATCATTATTATATTAAGATTATTATTATTATTAGCTGCAATAGTTGTTGAGGCTGTGTGGTAGACGATAGGCACACAAGACAATAATAAAAGGTTGAGGTTTATTAAAAAACAATAAGTCCTGCCACTGGTTGTAAACATTAAACAACAGCCTCTCGTCAAAAACACCTCTGAACTAGAAATAGCCACGCATCGGGCAGCACCAGGGCTGTAGTGAACGTGGTACGCGAGTCGCCGTTCTGTCCAGTCCTGTCCTATAGAGACCTGAGACTTGAGGGACCGGGACTAAACCAGGACTAAACCAGGACTAAACCAGGACCAGTGGCGGGTGATGGTATAATTTTTGGGAGGGGCACCAAGGGCAAAATTATAAATATATATTATGAATAATATATGTATTATATATATAGGCTGTAGTATTATAACAAATACCAGAAACAGACATTTTGGTTAGTATTGGCTGAACAGTATCGATCAGAGCACAATGAACAGCCAAGCGCAAACTTTACACAACAACACAACGTAACACGCCGCTCACACCCAGACCCAACAACGTCAACAAAACTACAATAAGAAACATGAACACAGATGCCGCTCCTACAGCACACGACAGAACAACCAGAGCAGCTCCATCTCACCCACCAGCTCATTTACGCACTATTTAACTATTAACACTATAACACTATTTAACTATTAACACTATAACACTATTTAACTATTAACACTATAACACTATTTAACTATTAACACTATAACACTATTTAACTATAACACTATTAACACTATTTAACTATTAACACTATAACACTATTTACCTGTGAGGCTCCAAGTTCAGATTTGCCGCAAACTAATGAAAACCAGCCTCTTACCTTCTCCAGAGACTGAAGCAGAGTGTTTCCTCTATCCATTGTCCCACTGGTTCTGTTTCCAAAAGTTTACATATTCCAATATGAAGAGATGACCATAATTCCAACACTGTCATCAAATTTGCTGATGACACAACTATTGTGGGGCTCATAACAAACAATGATGAAGCTGCTTACAGGGAGGAGGTCCTGACACTGATCTCCTGGTGTAAAGACAATGACCTGCATTTAAATACAAAGAAAACTAAAGAAATGATAATTGATTTTAGGAAAAACAAATGCATTCCCCATCACATTGGCCTCTACATCAACGGAGAAGAGGTAGAGAGGGTCTCCAACTTTAAGTTCCTGGGTGTGGAGATCAGTGAGAATCTAACCTGGAGCCTAAACACCATCAGCGTTATAAAGCGTGCCCAGCGGAGACTGTTTTTTCTACGAACACTCCGCCAGAACGGGCTCTCCCAGAAGCTCCTAACCAACTTTTACCGGTGCACCATCAAAAGCGTTCTAACGTACTACTGCTGTACATCATGGTATGGAGCCTGCACAGCTGCTGAAAAGAAGGACCTGCAGCGAGTGGTGAGAACAGCTGAAAAGGTGGTGGGCTCCTCACTCCCGAACCTGGACACCATCTACTCTTCACGTCTCCACACATGGGCCTCCAACATTTTGCAGGACCCCACACACCCCGGGAACTGCCTCTTCCACACTCTCCCCTCAGGAAGACTTCAAACTCCCCTCACACGCACAAACAGGCTGCGCAACAGCTTCTATCCACGAGCAGTGGACGTGCTCCAGGGGCACAGGCACAGATAAAAGACCTGAAGGGACTCAGTGCAATAATCTATTTATTTTATTTAATAAATGTTTTTTTTTTATTGGTATGGATGTGAGGATGTGTGTATATATATATTGTAAATTTTTACTGCTACAGATCTGCTCTGCTGAAGTTTCGTTGTATTTCATACAATGACAATAAATAAATCTATCTATCTAAATCTATCTATCTATCTATGAAACTGGTCCAAATCCTGGTCCAGTCTGGTCCGTGACGCGAGGTCCAGGAGCCGAGTGCACAAGATGGTTGTAAAATTAGTCTTAATCCCACTTCCCACTGAAATCTGAAAGTTACGGTCAGTCCATATCAGCACCAGGACACCAGGTAGAATTATGCCTCTGCGCGCTATGCTCAGGTCAAACTTGTACACCCAGAAACGAGCGGGCAAAGGCGGATAGAGCAGTGAGCGACTGCCCTGGCCCCGGCGGCGACAGTCCAGGGTCCCGGCGGCGGGTCTGTCAGGTCGGGTCTTTGACTCTGTTCTCGCCATTTCCTGTGTGGAGCTTTAGGCTAAAGTAGCAGCTGCCGCTAATCGTGAAGCTGCTACGAGTTGACGCAGCAGGTTGACGTGACGTGACGTGAGTGACAGGACAGTTGTCCAATCACATTACACTAAATAAACAGAGACTGTGATGTGTGAAATGCGCCAAGCAAAATCATTTTAAAATAGTAAAAAATAACGGCCTGTTGGGGGGTGGGGCACCAGTGGCCGCTAGGGGGGGGCACGGCCCTCAAATGCCCCACCTTGCCGCCGACACAGTTAATTGTCCGTAACAACCCCAAACTTACCTGGTTTTCTTGCGCAGCTACTAAACTGACAACGTTTTCCGACTAGGCTGTTTTTGAACCTTCTTGCCTTCGTGTTGGATGTTGTTACATTCTGAACATTCTGCCATTGCCCGATGTTATTTCAAAGTCATAGCCTCACTCCATCGGTCTTTCTTTAAGTTTTAAATACCCCGAGTGGCAGTCTACGCTATAATGTCTGCGTGTTTTAAAATATATCTGATATCGAAACAAAAAAAAAAGCATAAATATGGCCCTATAGCCACTTACGTGTTGGCAAACAGCTGAAATAAATTAGAAATAATAAAATAAACTGCATATAATATGTGCCTCGTAAACCTTAGGCATCAATAACCCGACACAACCTTAACCTTCAGAACATAAAACGAGGTCAAATGGGCTAATTAAGGACATGACGTACACTTCATACTACAAGCATAAACAATGAGACTCGTCTTTTCAGATGTAGGTAACAATACTAACAATAACTTTTTTTTTTTTTTTTGTAGTTAAACCGCCACCCGCCCCGAATTTAATTAAAATATCATTTTTCGTCACGTCATCCGCCCGACCCGCGGATTAACCGCGGATACCGCGGTTGTAACCGCAATCCGCGCATCTCTACTGACCGCACACTCACGGTGTGTGGAACAAATTTTTTGTGGGGTTCAAAATCCTGGGTCCCACAAGGGAAATCATTGGAATGGATAGAGGAGACGTTGCTGATATGTCTAGTGCAGAAATTTCAAGTTCTCCACACTTCACAAAAACATGACTATGTGTGCTTAAGTGTACTTAAGATTGGCCCTCTACAGGCCACAAACGGTACTGCAGTTTGACTTTTTCACGCCAAGTTCAAGCAATCCACCTTGAAGGTGGAAAAGCGCTATAGAAAAATGTGACCATTTACCATTTACCATAATAAAAATGCAGTGTGTTATCGTGTCTCATATTTTCGAAGGAAGAAGCTAGCTAGCAAGGGAGCTAATGTTAGAATAGCATCCCTTGCTAGCTAATGTTAGACTAGCCTACGTATGCTAACCCAGTGTCCCCAACCCTTTTTGCGCCACGGATGTTGTGGTTTTATATCTGACAATATTTCACGGACCGGGGGCTGTGTACGGGCGGCGGCGGTGTACGGGCGGAGAGGTGCGGTGCGAGGCAGAAGTAATGTATTCTTAGTTATTTAGGGGATTGGGGACACTGTACAAACCAATTTGCATGTGTTTTCTAAACACCGGAGCAAGGCTAGCTAACCAATCGCCATGCTCGATTGGGAAAACGTTTGATGGAAGACGATGTTAGATTCTGCCAGCTACTTTTCCACTTTATTCACTTATATGACATTTCATTGGGCCGTAAAAAATACTATAATTAGTTGTAATGAGAGAATAAATTAGAGATTATTAGCCAAGCTTCGCGTCCAGACTTCAGTGCTTTGCTAACATACACGTGTATGTTAGCAATGGTAATTGGTTCACATTACAAGAAGCTAAACTGGAAGCAGAGACCGGCTCTGCTATATGGATAACTGCAAACGATGTTTGCCACATAAGCCTTTCAGAAATGTTTGTGTGAAATTTCTTATTGTAACATGAACCAATGGACAATGGTAACAACGTGTATGTCAGAATTCATCGTTGCCTCTTCTATCAGACTTGTAGTAAGGTCAAGCTTTTTTGCAGAGTTTTATCTTATTTTGAAATTACGGGATGTATTGAATTAACTTTTTAACATAAATTTGAGAGTCCCAGTCTTGACGTTCTTCTGAAGCACTCCATGTTGTGTCACTATCAAGGTTGCACTTGTCCATTGCCCTGTCTCTATCCTGAGTATATGTGTGATAGGTAGTTAGCCAAGCAATCTAGTAGTTTTCATCATTGTGGTATGCATTCTTATTTGGGCATGTACTACTATTCTCATATTTCTTTATTAAGATGTTTTCAACAGCTTTAGTGTAATAAGTATATGTACTACCTCTGAGAGGTAGTGTGGTTTCTTTTTCATCACAGTGTTTAACATGTGACTTTTTTCAGGTAAAAGTTCTGACAATGTTGATATATGGCATGTTTGATATATTGGTAGCATAATGATTAGGGCATAGATCTTTACCTAGCCTTGTGTTGCTTACATGTGTGTATGCACGTTTGTGCTTGTAGTAATGCAAGAGATTTAAGCTCAAATCCTGGAATTATCAGTGAAAGTATTGTTTCTATGTTTCAGATTCAGGCTAGAGTTCTAAAGGACTTAAATTGATAAATAGTGAATTTCCCCTTTTAATCTGTTTTCTACAGGTAAAATGGCGAGAAGGAGGGTAACCCCTCAGAGTGTAGCAGAGCAACATGTCATCAGTGGCACAGACCAGACTGCCATGTTGGATGTTAAATACATAAACCCCACTAAAGGTAAGTGTCTCTGCAATCAGTGTTAATTGGTACTTTGTACTGAAGATATCTGCTTAGGATAGTTATATTACATGTGTCTTAGGTGAAATGAGGGTTCTTTTTGCAGCTTCACCATGTTGCCAACATGGGCAATACATTTTTTACTAACTCTTACTTCTGTGAACAGGCAGGGGTGTATTTGCCCTGTCGCCTTTTCAAAAAAGGGATTTTGTGGTCGAATATAGAGGACAACTTATTGACCTTGAGGAATCAGAGAGGGGGAGGAGGATATATAATGCAAAATGCTTGGGCTTCATGTTCGACTTCATGTGGCATGGAAAGAAATGGTGGTAAGCATTTACTGTATGGTGGGTGTTAAAGGGAAACTTTAGTGTAAAATGAAAATTGGCATGTTTCTTCAAGCTGTTTTTTATGGTTTAAAAAATAATGTAATCTTCATATGCTTTCCCTATGCCCATAGCCCTACTATTGTTAAAATTATAAAAATTTGTGAAGTTCTAAATGCAACAGGCTAGCGCAGTTTATTTCAGCAAACATACCAACTCGGTATGATGTTTTAACATGCCAGTTTTCATTTTACACCAAAGTTTTTCTTTAATTTCTGGCCATACAAGCTTCCAATAATCAGTAGATGATCTTGGCCTAATGTCCTGCTTGACTTTTGATACTTTATGTCTCATTTGAAGCATTGATGCTGCGATGGAAGACGGCTCATTGGGAAGGCTGGTCAACGATGATCATGTCCATCCTAACTGTAGGATGAAAAGGATATTAGTTGGTAGAAAGCCACACCTCTGCCTGTTCGCTGTTAGAGACATACACAGTGGAGAGGAGATTACTTATGACTACGGAGATGACAATTGGCCATGGAGAGAAAAGGTTTGTCAGTGACATTGTATGTGCCTCTGTATATGTTTTATCAATTATATCATCTTTTGACTGACTGCTGCCCTCGTGGCCAGGTGACCCTTGTATATACCCTTGTAAAGGATATATCTCTATCTATCTATCTATCTAGATATATAATATATAATGATACACTGTATACTTCAAATAATGCTGATGTTCTTCATGGTTGTATTTCTGCTAAAACCGGAGGTTGGGTATGACTTGGAGTGCTTGTGTAATGATTTAGAGCTAAAATGAGTTGCTGACTGGCTGATGGTCTCAACCCAGTAGAAGACACATGCTACTGTATAGCTGTTGTGTAGTATGATGAGTACTACACATACCGATTCTGAATAACTGATTGTAATTCATATCTTAGGCTGATGGAGACTCTCCTGACGAAGCTGTGGAGAACCCAGTGATGCAACAGGAAGAGGTTCAACCCCCAGCTTGCAGGTAAAAATCTGTTACCAGACTTTGTGTTTAGATACTTGTCAACGTGTTTGTGATTTGAGGCAATGCAAACACACACACTTACTAGGTGTAATGAGGTTCAAGATCATGTCATAGAGTATTTTCAGTTGTGAGGATTAGTGGGCTGGTTTGATCAGATATGGTTCTTGCTTACACTCACACAGTCTCAGGTACAGCGTTGTGGGGTATCTGTACCCATCCCCCACTCCAAGTTTATGATAATACAGGTGACACACACACAGTCTCAGGTACAACCTTGTGTGGGCCATGTAAAGGATAGATTGCAGAGAAGGACATTTACTGCTACAGACAGAGTCTACTAGAATGTAACCTTCTTGTTAACACAACCCACATGCTACAAGCAATTCTTGAATCACTGACTTTACACTGACTGCAGTTACTGCACACTGAAGTGGTGGTGCTTTTTAAACTGTTCTTTTAACACAACACATGTTGAGACGTACATCACCGCTCAATATAACATGTGGGCCATACACACACAGTGAACATAACTTGGCAAATACGATGCACTGTGTACTTCAAATAATGCTGATGTTCTTCAGGGTTGTATTTCTGCTAAAACCGGAGGTTGGGTATGACTTGGAGTGCTTGTGTAATGATTTAGAGCTAAAATGAGTTGCTGACTGGCTGATGGTCTCAACCCAGTAGAAGACACATGCTACTGTATAGCTGTTGTGTAGTATGATGAGTACTACACATACCAATTCTGAATAACTGATTGTAATTCATAACTTAGGCTGATGGAGACTCTCCTAACGAAGCTGTGGAGAACCCAGTGATGCAACAGGAAGAGGTCTCACCCCCCAGCTTGCAGGTAAAAATCTGTTACCAGACTTTATGTTTGCATTGCCTCAAATCACAAACACATTGAGGCAAGTATAAACACACACTCTTACTAGTTGTAATGAGGTTCAAGATCATGTCATAGAGTATTTTCAGTTGTGAGGATTAGTGGGCTGGTTTGATCAGATATGGTTCTTGCTTACACTCACACAGTCTCAGGTACAGCGTTGTGGGGTATCTGTACCCATCCTCCACTCCAAGTTACTGATAATACAGGTGACACACACACAGTCTCAGGTACAACCTTGTGGGGTATCTGTACCCATCCCCCACTCCAAGTTACTGATAATACAGGTGACACACACACAGTCTCAGGTACAGCGTTGTGGGGTATCTGTACCCATCCCCCACTCCAAGTTTATGATAATACAGGTGACACACACACAGTCTCAGGTACAGCCTTGTGTGGGCCATGTAAAGGACAGATTATAAAGGAAAGGATGTTTACTGGTGGAGCCAAACTCTGATAGGGATCCAAGAATTGCTTGTAGCATGTGGGTTGTGTTAACAAGGTTACATTCTGATTGTACACTGACTGCACACTGACGTGGTGGTGCGTTTTAAACAATTCTTTTAACACAAGACATGCTTAAGATGACTCTGTTTGCATTAGCATCATTTTGCAGCAACAATCAACAGGTCTGGTAATAAATTCTGGTTGCTTGCATCTATGACAAAGATTCAGTCTGAACATTTCATTTGATCCCTCCCAATTTATTTTTGGTTTGATTTGAAACATGCAGTCTTATAATCTAAATTTCTTTGAATGTTTTAGAGTGGCAGTGGAGACTCCTTTGTCAAGGATTTAGAGAATAGTTCCTTTGTATGCAGCTCCAGCATGGTGTTGCAACACAAAAAGGTTTTTGAAAAAGCCAAGTCCACCTTGGTAACCTACTCAGACTCCAGCGAATCAGCCATCAGTTCCAGCACTAAAGAAGATGTTCCCCCATCCACCATGCAGGTATCTTTGTCCTTTGTAGCAACTTCAGTAATTTCAGCAATAGCGCCCTGTCACTAAGCATGCCCGCATTTCAACCTGCCACTGTCTTGATAGAATAGATTTTGAAGTGCTCATTCACTGTTTCATTGTTTTGTTTTGTTTTTTACAGCAAAATATTTTGCAGTTTAAAATACATGAAAGTGAAATGGCTTGTTTAGGTTTGGGCAGCACAGCACAAATGCCAATCCACTTTCAATAAAATCCACTTTCAATCAAATCCACTTTTATTTATATAGAACATTTCCTACTTTGAGCACTCATAGCTGAATCAAGCTATGCACGTCCATGTAATTATAAATCTACTGTGGTAAAAACAGTCTGGGTCAAGGGGAGTCATGACATTGTAATTACATATGTGTATTCTGCCTGTTCTTTAGACTATTTTTGGTCATTTGAAATGGCATTGTTTTGACATAGGAGTGGATGGACTAGGGATGGGCATGATTAGTTGATTCATCGATAATTGATCATTAAGAATTTCATCGATTACGTTAATTTTAATCGACAAACCGAATGTAGGTTGCTGTGCGTAGTGTAGAGTGACCAAACAGGGTCAGTACGTGTAGCTCTCTGCACTCAGAAGGAGCGAGACACAAACAGTCGGTCAGTCTGCAACGTACTGAAGTGCAAATATGAATGATGTGCAACGATGACTTGTACAAGAAAGTCCACGCTTTCCGTTCGGGACAAGTGTGAGTTCATGTGCACAGTGTATAAAGCAGCACATATGTTTCGGTGTCCAGTGGGAAAAAGCTTTGCCAGGTGAGAGTCGCACAATGTAGATGACGAGTCCCGACCTCCCGCCCCTCGTACGGTGTCCTGGTTTTGACAAACACAAATATGATCACACTAACCTGTATTCCGCTGAGTCGTGTCTTTTAATCCGACAGAAATTGACCGCATCAGCGCACAAGAGCTGTAGTTTTATCTTCGCTTAGTTTATGCAAATTAGTGATGCGGTTTTAAGTTTCATTTTGTGGGAGTTGCGCAAAACTGAATTAAACACATTATAATTTCAAACGGATTGATGTGGCTCTAGAGTCGTTACGGTTTATATGTCGTAAAGTTGAATTTATTTATGCAGATTAGTGCAGATAGTAATAATAATAATGATGATAATTTTAATATAAAAACGTTAATGATTAATCGATAATCGATCGTTAATTCTTCCGACGATCGATTAAGAAAATTTCACCGAATGCCCGTCCCTAGGATGGACACTTTCACATTCCATTCTTCTATGATGGCCATGTTAAAAAGTGACAGGCCTCTACTGTATCCATTCCACTTTTGATTGTTGTAGCTTCCACCTTGCCTGGTCATCCACCCCATCCTGCATCATCAAAATTTGATTCCGGCAGAGGGCCTATGCCCATAGGATCTCATTTACAGAACCTTATTTTCTAAGTTTTCCTCACGGTCCAATCAAATGACTGGATTAAAAAAAAAATCGACCTACAGCTAGCAAGACACTGACCGATGTGACCGTTAGGATGCTGATTTAGGTTGATTGGATTTGAAAACAGTCATTTGATTGGATATTTTCTCTGACAAATTTGAATCATGTTTTAAGACTTGTATTTGTTTTAGCTGGGGTTACTATTGGGTGAATGCTCACCATTTTCATTATACTGAGAAACGGATATTAGTGTTGGCAATTGTTTGTATTGTTGATCAATTTAGTTAATGATAAGCAAGCACACTTGCAAGTTTGAGCATGGGATTGTACAGTATATAGACTAAATATCTGCTTTTGCTGTTTGCACTGTAATACCCTGATAACATGTAGACCATTGCCAGTTCTGGTCCTAGAGGGCTACTCATCTTGAGGCTCTCTCCAGTCCTAACCTAGCACATCTCATTCATCTAATCAGCTGCTTGCCAGGTCCTAAATTACCTAAATATACATGTGTATTAGGTGACATTTTGAAAGCCTGCACATACATTAGTTTTCCAGGACCTGTGTCGAAGACCTCCGATCTAGATTCAGTCGGAATAAAATTTCATCTTAATTATTAATCTAAGCAATACAGATCAGTAGCTATTAGTTACAATATATAATGTATTGTTTGTTTAAACTGTTTTCATTTGTGTTTATTAAAGAGCAAAGAGAAGATTCCTTTTGGGCTTGATCTTTCTGACTCCAGTATGAAACATGGAGAGGATGATGCTCGACAAATGATTGTGCCAAGGCTTAGGAGGACCAAAAGCATCTTTGTAAGTCCCACCAACAAATGTGTCATTTCCATGTACTATAGATATCTTCATTGTGTTTAGTTGAGTGGTCAAATGATTTGTAAAGTTATGACTATATGTGACGGGTTGTATGCGTACCCTCCCTTGAACAGGAGGCAGACCTCTGGTGGGCAGAACCAGCCAGTTTGCATTCATCAAGTGAGGCGCGGGTGTTATCCTACTGGGAAAACACCTGTTAACCATTTGCTACCTGTTTATTTGCGCTTGTAAGCTCTCGGTTCCGCCACTTAGCCTCTTTACATGAACAAATTGTGTCCAGTGAAGTTGGCTTTGGATCTGCCACCTACGTGACGGGTAAAATGCAGTGCAAATTTTGTTGCGTGCTGTGCTGGGTAAACACAAGGCCATTGGGTGCTGTTTGTTCTGTTTGCTTTAAACAAAGGAAAAAAAAAACAATTGTCCAAAAAATGTTAAATCCATCCAACCAGGAGTAGAGACATGCATAGACATCAGACGTACTGTCATCATGAAACACAGTTATCCAATATATCTGTAAAACACATATTCTAATATGTAACCCGTGTCAATTAGCCCACTTCCGGTTACAACTTTATCTGTGAAATAAAAGTCTCAAAATGAGGAAGGTTTGAGGCTGAATGTTTATTCATATTTGATCAGCGAATGAAGCTGTAGCTTTAGGCCGGAGCCAGATTCACTGCTGGCCCTCAGACCTGGTCCTTTTGGGAGAGCTCCGAGAAGTCAGGTTAATCCGGTCCTCCTGAGCTCTCTTTCCTGTGGATACAGGCTGATGATGGGGCCCTGGAGAGCTCGGTGGCCCTGGTGGCCGTAGGGAACCTGGTGCCGTTGTTGAGCCTGTCGCCATTGTTGAGCTCGGTGGCCCTGGTGGCCGTAGGGAACCTGGTGCCGTTGTTGAGCCTGTCGCCATTGTTGAGCTCGGTGGCCCTGGTGGCCGTGCGGAATCTGGTGCCGTTGTTGAGCCTGTTGCCATTGTTGATCTCGGTGGCCCTGGTGGAAGTGGGGAATCTGGTGCCGTTGTTGAGCCTGTCGCCATTGTTGATCTCGGAGGCCCTGGTGGGTGCTGGTCTTGGGATTGGTCTGGGTGCTGGTCTTGGGGCTGGTGTTGTTTCTGGTCTTGGGACTGGAGCTCCTGAGTTTTTTGCAGGCAAACCTCTGCTCCTCGTGTTTGCGTTTAAGACCAGAAGTTCGTTCTTGCGAGTCCTGGTGGCATAGATGAGCTCGATGGCCCTGGTAAGTGTTGGTTTTGCGGCTGGTCTTGGGACTGGAGCTCCTGTGTTTTTTGCTCACAGACGCCTGCTCCTCGCGTTTGCGTTTTAGCCCAGAAGTTTGTCCTCTTGAGGCTACCATAGTGGGAGGAGCCTTAGAGGACGGGGCGGGGTCTTGAGCACTTTGACTCACTTTGGACAGAAGCCAGTGGCTCTGCATCACACTGAAAGACAAGACACAAACACAGTTAGTGATTTAAAGGAGAAATGCTGCCCCCGTGTCTGTGTACACTGGTGTATGTAGTATGTAGTATGTAGTATGTAGTATTTCTGTGGTGTAAAGTGCTTTGAGCGCCTGGAAGGTAAAAATGTGACCATTTAATAGTCTTTATGCCACTGCTGCTCAGGTTTTGGAGGTAATGCATGTCTCCTCTCTTCTTTCTGCAGTGTGAAGTTTGAAACAGACATCTTCTGGTTGGTGGGCGACCACTCAACCTACTGCACCGCTGCCTCCACCCTTCTAAAGTTCCTCTGCTCATTCGTTTCCATTGACATATAGTGACGTGTGTGTGAGGGGACAGTGGGTACTCACTAGGCGCCGCTGAGGTGGCTCATGGTGAGGAAGGGGTGCTCGAGCACTTCCTTGGGGCTGATCCTCGTCTCTGGGTTGAGGTCCAGCATACGTATGAGCAGGTTGACAAAGACGGCCCGGTCGTGCTTCTCTGTGGGGGTACAGGAGGCCAGAGGGCCCCGGGGGTCTCTCTGAAACACACACACACACAAAGGGTCACATCTGCACCTGTGGCTCTACTTTACAATGTTACAATCACAAGTGTGACATCAACTGCCCCAACCATATGTGAGCTGAATCTATCAACACAACTGTGGCTGGAGGTGGGGATGTACCTTGCTCAGGAGCACTACAACACTAGTGTGAAGCAGCAGCACTTGAGTCGGTGGCCAACACCTCTTTTGTTTTTCAAAACCCTAACACACGACTTTGAGACAGTTTAGGACTCAACCTGTGCCCTGAGTAAAAATGAGGTGTGCTCTCACCTTGTGGATGTTCTCCAGACGTGTGACCCTGCGAGTGGACAACAAACCACTCTGAAACAGGAGCACACAATTACATATATATATATATATATATATCACACACACAGAGTGATGACACGTATAGCAGTGAACAGAAGGAGCTGGACGTACCTTATATGTCCACTTGTCTCTGTCCTGGGAGTGGCTGTAGAACATTTTGGTCCGGAGACCCTGGTCCAGACAGGACTTGTGAGGGTGTCCCACAGTCTCCACAATGAGCCTCATCATGTCCCGCTCGTCTCTAGCCTGAAACAGAGGAACTCCCAAGAACATCTCAGCGGCAATGCAGCCCACGGACCACATGTCTATGGCCCCATTGACAGGGGCCCGGAGGAGGCTCTCTGGAGCTCTGCACACACACATTATTGACAAATGAACAAATGATTTCAAACCACAGTTTAAAATACTTTGATTATAGCGAGAACATACAGGAGTATGCTACTACATTATAGGATTTATTCTGAACTGTGTACTGTCGTACCTGTACGGCAGAGTCTGTCTCTCCTTTGTCAGATCGGCCTTTCTCACTAAACACGCCAGGCCAAAGTCAATGATTTTGATGGACAGCGGCTTCTTCACGTGTTCCTCCATCATGATGTTCTCTGGTTTCAGATCAGTGTGCATGATGCCCTCACGCTGAAGGAACAGGAGAGCTCGGGCCATCTGCAAGCACACGTTACACACAGGACACATGTTAGTACAATATCACGCTTGATAACACGCTTGATTATTTTGTCAAAGTGTGCTGCAGGGGCGTGTGTCTGTACCTGCCAGATGATCGGGCGAATCTCCATGAGGCTCAGACTCTTATAGGGCCGTCTGGCTGAGAAACTGGGCCAGGCTGATGTCCAGCTTCTCAAACTCGTGGAAGAATCTTCCAGAAGACCAAAAGGAGCCGAGCCAGTGCACCATGTGGACGTGGTGTGCGCCGTGTGCAGAGAGAGGACCTGGAGGATCTTCAGCTGTCAAAAATCAGATCTATTCACGGTTATCTGATTGTGAGTGATCTGATTCTGAGTGATCACATTTGTACTGGCCATGTGAGTGTGCCCTCATGTAGATGTGAGAAGAACCTGTGCAAACTGACCTCTTGAAAACATGCTCTCAGGGCACATGGGCCTTTCAGGATCTTGAGCGCCACCGTCCGGTTGGTGGTGCGATTGTGACAGAGAGCGACATCTCCGTAGATCCCTGAGCCCAGCAGACTCTGCAGCTCGTATACGGTGGAGCTCGTCTCGATCAGGTCTCCAGACTTCAGTGTGGACGCCATTATATGTGTGGAGGGTTACAACTGTGTGCAAGTACAAATACTGACACAGGACACAAGTACAAGCACAGGTCGGAGCTGTGTACAAGTGCAAGTACAGGTGTTGTAAAGGTAGGGGTACAGGTACAGGTATCGGTATCCTAAGAGCAGGAGTACAAGTATCTAGAAACAGGAGCTGTGTAAATGCATCTTCACTCTTCAGAGAAACAAATACAAGTGAGTGGCGAACGCTGAGAATCAAGCTTATAGAACAGCTTATAGAACACGAGTGACCACGGCAACACACATTTCTATTGACTTTGCTCATCATCGTTTTAAATCAAAGCAACTCCCCGTTGCCACGACGTTGCCATGGCGTGTATGGCATCGCATTCCGAAATCTTCTGAAACTGTTATATAAGACCGGTCACTTTTTATCTGGTCATTTTCACTGAGACCTTTGGAGTAAACACACACTTTGGAGAGAGCTCAGAACACTTTTTGTTGGAAACCCGTCGTTGGACCAAGTTTGACTTTAGTACAACTATGTCGTCTTGGGACACTTATGAGACCTCTGGTGCAGCAGGTAATCCACAAAAACCACACAGGACTCACTCAAGACACATCTCAAAAACAAGCGTTTCCAGTGACTCTCAGTCACTTTTCTGTGGAAATATTTAGGTTTTAGTATAAGAAACAACCACCCACTTCTGCACACAAACATTTAACACGTTATGAAAGTCAGTTTGACATGAAAACCAAGTTAGGTCTAACCAGGTCTAAAATCTGGTCTAAACCAGGTCTAAAATCTGGTCTAAACCAGGTCTAAACCAGGTCTAAACCAGGACTAAAACCAGGCCTAAACCAGGACTAAAACCAGGTCTAATCCAGGACTAAACCAGGTCTAAAGCAGGACTAAAACCAGTTCTAAACCAGGACTAAACCAGGTCTAAACCAGGTCTGAACCAGGTCTAAACCAGGACTAAACCAGGTCTAAACCAGGACTAAAACCAGGTCTAAACCAGGACTAAACCAGGTCTAAACCAGGACTAAAACCAGGTCCAAAGCAGGTCTAAACCAGGACTAAACCAGGACTAAACCAGGTCTAAACCAGGACTAAACCAGGTCTAAACCAGGACTAAAACCAGGCCTAAACCAGGTCTAAAACCAGGTCTAAACCAGGTCTAAACCAGGACCAAACCAGGACTAAACCAGGTCTAAAACCAGTTCTAAACCAGGACTAAACCAGGACTAAACCAGGTCTGAACCAGGTCTAAACCAGGACTAAACCAGGTCTAAACCAGGACTAAAACCAGGTCTAAACCAGGACTAAACCAGGTCTAAACCAGGACTAAAACCAGGTCCAAAGCAGGACTAAACCAGGACTAAACCAGGTCTAAACCAGGACTAAACCAGGTCTAAACCAGGTCTAAACCAGGACTAAACCAGGACTAAACCAGGTCTAAACCAGGACTAAACCAGGACTAAACCAGGTCTAAACCAGGTCTAAACCAGGACTAAAACCAGTTCTAAACCAGGACTAAACCAGGTCTAAACCAGGTCTACAGCAGGACTAAAACCAGTTCTAAACCAGGACTAAACCAGGACTAAACCAGGTCTAAACCAGGACTAAACCAGGACTAAACCAGGGCTAAAACCAGGACTAAACCAGGGCTAAACCAGGTCTAAAACAAAAACAGGACTAAACCAGGTCTCAAATCAGGACTAAACCAGGACTGAACCAGATCTAGACCAGGCCTAAAACCAGGTCTAAAACTAAACCAGGACTAAACCAGGTCTAAACCAGGTCTAAAATCAGGACTAAACCAGGACTAAACCAGGAGTAAAACCGTCTAAACCAGGACTAAACCAGGTCTAAACTAGGACTAAAACCAGGTCTAAAACTAAAACAGGACTAAACCAGGTCTGAACCAGGTCTAAAATCAGGACTAAACCAGGACTAAAACCAGGTCTAAACCAGGACTAAACCAGGTCTAAACCAGGTCTAAAATCAGGACTAAAACCAGGTCTAATGCAGTACTAAACCAGGACTAAACCAGGTCTAAACCAGCTCTAACATCGGGATTAACCAGGTCTAAACCAGGTCTAAACTAGGACTAAACCAGGTCTAAACTAGGACTAAACCAGGACTAAACCAGGACTAATCCAGGTCTAATCCAGGACTAAAACCAGGTTTAAAATCAGGACTAAACCCGGTCTAAACCAGGGCCAATTTGAAGAGAACAAACATGAATTTGCAGGATGTGGTTGCTACATTTCATGTCGTTTTAAAAAGCACGACAATATCAAGTAATCCAAAGTATTCAGATTACATTACTCACTTTAAGTAATTTAATAGATTACGTTACAAACTACATTTTGGGGTCTGTAATCTGTAGGGGAATACATTTTAAAAGTAACCTTCCCAACACTGGTCGTAGTAATTGTTGTAGCAGTAGTAGTAGTACTAAGTTATTTTAAAGGTAACAGTGGTATTTTGCAATTGGACAACAACAATGCAAGTAGCAGAAGAAAATCCTGTAGAAGTGTCCAGTGCATTTGACCCTGATGAAGTCTTGTCTTGTCTTTCTTGTCTAGCACCTCAGCACAGTTCAGAGGTCACCATCGGTCACACCCTGCAGGGCCGGACCGACTCTTACTCCGTCCTGCAGTGGCTTGGTGAGGGCTGCTTTGGCCGCGTAGCCAAGTGCCACGCCATGGACCAGGACCAGATTGTGGCTGTTAAGCTCCTCAAAGAGCAACAGTTTAAGGAGAAGGAGCACGAGGTAAGTCAGGTTTGTCAAATGAAACTGGAGGGTCAGAGTCACACAGACTTCTGTCCTGATTCAAATACAGTTTTTGCAAAGATTTGATTTTATATTGGCAGAGGTGCAGAGGTGGTAGAGCCAAAAGCTAATTGAATTTAGAGGACTAAACAGAACATGAGCTAGAGTCTACCAGTATTTGCTTTGTTAAATGCACTTTTTGACCAGTATTATGTCATGCATTTGACTTCACAGTTTGAACTCAAATCTATGTCTCTTTAGGTGTCCATGATGGAGGAGCTCAGTGTCCTCGACCCCAGCCACACAAACATCGTGTGCTTTGTGGAGCAGTTCGAGGTCATGGGCCTTCACTGTCTGGCCTTTGAGATGCTGGAAGTGGACCTCTATTCGTTCATGTCAAACAGGAACTGGGTACCACTCCAGCTCAATGAGATCCGGCCTATTGCCCACCAGGTACTAAAGGATTTACTGTAAATATTATGTTGCAACATGAAGGCCTTGCACCAAAGGTTTATGGTTTCAAAACTGATCTAGTTCATATTAAACTGTTAGCGTCACTTTGTTCATTTTTAGCGCATTTCTTACATCCCAATTCTCAGCAATTTGAAGTTCAACCTTTTTGTCAATTCTTTTTCCCTCTTGTGTCTTTGCAGTTGTTGGTGGCTCTAGATGCACTAAAAGGGCTTGGTATCGTACACACCGATATCAAGCCCGATAACATCATGTTCGTTGACCTGCAGGAGCACTCTTTAAGGGTCAAATTAATTGACTTTGGAGAGGCCAGGAAGGCCTCCCGAGTCCAGCTGGGGGCCACGCTCCAGCCGTGTGGATCCAGGTACGAGGCAACTCACACTAATATCAGGAGGAATACAGTGGGCATGGATTTTTAAAGGAGACATATGTTTGCGTCCCTTATATTTAGTTATATTATACTAAATACATTCATCACTTTAAACTGCAATATTGACCTAAAATAGTCATAGTTTAGAAAACAAGCCTGCTTTTTTGTATAATATGTCTCCTTTAAAATATGACCAGAGCACATGACTAAACCAGGACTAAACCAGGACTAGTCTGAACTTTGTCTTTGTTTTCCAGAGCTCCTGAGGTCACACTCGGTCTTCCGTACACGGAGGCCATTGATGTGTGGGGGGTTGGCTGCATTCTAGCCTTTCTCTATCTGGCTGACAACCTGTTCCCAGTCACTTGTGAGTACCAAGCGGTAAAGCGCCTGGTGACTTTACTGGGTATGCCACCTGACCACCTGCTAGAGGCTGGACTCCATAGCAAGAACTTCTTTACCTAAGTCCAGTCCTCGAACGGCGCAGCATGGAGACTTCTGGTACTTATTCACTTTGTTTCTTGTTAATATTGAATCGTTTTAGTTTGATATGTCCAAAACTAGCCTTATAATTTTACTCACACTCTTGTCAATGTACAGACAGCTGAAGAATATGCTGCCAAATACGAAACCACCACTCAAGAGGAAAGCACCTACTTTGAAGTCCCCAGCTGCTTGGACAGCCCTGTCTGTGTAAGTCTCCACGACTGATCAACACTCGCCCTCATAATGCACATCTGTATTTCACAGAGTCTAATCAGTGTTTGTTTTGTAATGGACAGAACCCTCCTGATAACTCCAAC